TAATTGGAAGAATCTATCACAAAGGTTTCTGAGACTTAAGCCAGGCTTTACTAGCGTAAAAATCCGCTACAACGTCCTTCAACTTTGCTAACTGGCATGTGTGTCAAGTTGGAAGCTGCTGGTAACATTGCTATTAATTCAAATATAACAATAAATTCAATTAAAGCCTTTGTCCATTTTCTATTAAATTGGAATAAAAATGTTAATAGACTGTGATATCCGGAAATGCTCAAAACAGTATTTCATGCCTTAATGGCAAACTCTTTCTAGGGATAAGGAACTAATATCAAATTATATTAGGGAAAACGATTTCACTCAAAATTCCAAACCCTTTATTGAAGTCTTTAGACGAAGAAAAAGCCTTTAGAAAAGGAATAAGCTCTTGTACACGAGGGTCGTTACAACTTTGATCATCCCTCCGCAATTGATTCCCAGCTGCTATTCTACCATTTTTCTATGCTCAAAGAAGTCAAAACAATTGGAGTTCCAATATATTATGGGGCACTTCATCGCAGGCGCGCACACTAGGCTTAAGGTGTTGCCCCGGATGCATTTACACAACGACTGGATGACCTCACTGAGCAGTTGAAAGAAATGAAGGTGCTTATGACAGCGTCCGCTTCACGCGCCAAAGAACGGCGCCCTGATTCATCTAGAGGGCGTCGGAGGCCATCAGAGCATGACAACACCATATGTTACTACCATCGAACCTTTGGTGACAGAGCCAGGAGATGTAAGCCTGGATGCTCATACGTGAAGACCAAAGCACGTAGCCCCTCGGGGAAATCGCACTGCAGGCAGTAAAGGCGACGACTGATCCTGGCAGCTATCCTAGTAGCCTGCTATACATTACCGACATTCTTGGTGGACACAGGTTGCGAAGTCAGTGTTATCTCACGGTCCAAAAAACGCTATATTAAAGCCACCAGGGCCTTTTTTCGTAGTAGCAAATAATACCCAAATACACGTCTATGGACATAAGTTTCTTAATCTTGACCTAGGCCTCTGTCGAGACTTCCCGTTTACTTTCTCTATCGCGGAAGTACAACAGCCCATCATTGGTACCGATTTCCTCTCAAGATTTCAGTTATTAGTCGATCTCAAAGACAACGCTCTACTGGACAATCTTGCATCCATGCGTGTGACCGACTCGAAACGGCCCTTAGGTTTTGTAGGTTTGAACGGGCTCTTCCCGGTGGACAATATATACACGAGCATTCTATCAAAATTTCACTCCATCTTTCGTTCGCAGAGATTTCATGGACCAAGCATAGTGTCCAACATCATATTACCACAAAAGGGCAACCTGTTTTAGCCAGATCCCGAAGCCAACACACCGATTAACTACATACGGCAAGCAAGAATTTCAATATATGGTTACTTTGGGAACCGTTAGACCTTCCAACATCCCATGGGCTTCCCCATTGCATATGGTCACGAAACAAACGGTGACTGGAAGCCATATGGAGACTACCGGGCACTAAACCGCATCGACAGGTTGAAACCGGCTTACCTGGAGTGCCCTATAACAAAGCCCGTAGTTAGGAATCCCACGTCCAGTCCTACAACCCCATAATATTCGTGATATCAGTGCAAAGTTTGTCAGGATGTTGGTTGAAGTTGAGGGGACTTGTGTTAAGTTCATCCTCTAAAAGGTTTGTGAATCTAGACCAGTCAGCCTTCTTGAAGTTCCGTGATAGCTTAGTTGGCACTTTCCTTGACATGCTTTTGCTGCCGATGGTAATACTAGCAATGACTGGTTTGTGACCAGAACCAGGATCTTCAATTATTTTGCGGTGTGTGTGCTCATTGATGTCGCTTGAAGCCAAGAGTAAATCAGGGGTTGTTCTGGTTCCATTGTAGTGCAAATATGTAGCCGTATCCTCATTCCTATAAATAAGCTCTAGAGGGTTGCTGTTTAGCATGTCTTTAATTTCCTTTCCAGCAATGTTTGTATCCTTGTAGCTCCATCTGGTGGAATGGGCTTTGAGGTCTCCTAATACTAGATCTTTGTGTGAGATGTTCAGAAAGTCAAAGTTTGGACAATTCATGGATTATAGACTGTATATATCTTGAAGTGGTTTTGACATTCCCAAACATTAGTTTTGTATGAGATGTTCAGAATGTCAAAGTTTGGACAATTCTGGGGTTGTTAGATGTTCAGAAAGTCAAAGTTTGGACAATTCTGGGGTGGCAGACTGCATATACCTTGAAGTGGTTTTGACATTTCCAAACATATGCATATATCTTAAAGTGGTTTTGACATTTCCAAACATTTAATCTGATTATTTCACATATGTCTTGTGTTTTGGATTATAGACTGCATATACCTTGAAGTGGTTTTGACAATGGATTATAGACTGTATATATCTTGAAGTGGTTTTGACATTGGTTATAGACTGCATATATCTTGAAGTGGTTTTGACATTTCCCAGACTGCATATACCTTGAAGTGGTTTTGACATTTCCAAACGTTGCATATATCTTGAAGTGGTTTTGACATTTCTAAATATTTAATCTGATTATTTCGCAGATGTGTTGTGTCGAGCCCATACTCTTGATTAGATCGCTATGTGATGTGAGGCCTTCTTTTACTCCAGTCAGAATTCCATTAGTGGGAGGTGAGGCCTTCTTTAACTCCAGTTAGAATTCCACTTGTCTCTTGTGTCGAGCCCATACTCTTGATTAGATCGTAGTGTGATGTCTAGCCCATACTCTTGATTAGATCGTAGTGTGAGGTGTCCATTTGTCTTGCGTCGAGCCCATACTCTTGATTAGGTCGTAGTGTGAGGTGAGTCCTTCTTTTACTCCAGTTATAATTCCACTTGCAACTTGCCGGTATTTAGGTAGATTGCTACAGGGTGTAACCTGGGAATTGGTAGTACTTCAGTTTTGGCATCCGAAATGTTAGCTTCCATAATTGTGAAAATGGCTACATCACTACAATGCCTGGGAATTGGTAGTACTTCAGTGTGGCATCCGAAATGTTAGCTTCCATAATTGTGAAAATGGCTACGGGTACAGGGTGTAACCTGGGAATTGGTAGTACTTCAGTTTTGGCATCCGAAATGTTAGCTTCCATAATTGTGAAAATGGCTACATCACTATAACTTTCAGGATTTTCTGTATTTGGATCTTTTGTCCGGAGACAGGTTTGCTTCCATAATTGTGAAAATGTCTACATCAAAGTTTAGGGATTTTCTGTACTTGGATCTTTTTGTCCGGCGACATTCCTGATTCCATAATTGTGAAAATGTCTACATCATAGGTTTGTAGCCTTTTCTGTACTTGGATCTTTTTGTCCGGAGACATTCCCCTCTGTATTTGGATCTTTTTGTGCGGAGACATTCCTCCAGCATTCCACTGGAGGATCTGAAGACGATGTGATTCGCCTTAAAGAGGGCGATTTTCTTATAGCCTATTTTAAAGCTAATCATAATAAATAGAAGTCAAAATGCCGAGTGATACACTTTTCTTCCCGTAAGAAAATACGTTGTCCAGGGTGCACCACGTGGAGATAAGTCTATTGCGCACCCCATACTACTAACATTTGTGATATTAGTTAAGTTTATGGATGTGAAGATTATTGTTGAAACCGATGCTGAAGTGCGTCTCTCAAGACGTCTTCTTCGAGACATTCGTGAGCGTGGTCGTCAAGTCAACGACATCATTCGTCTATTTCTCGTTCGTCCAACCAGCTTACGACAACTTTATCGCTCCGACAAGGTCTCGTGTGGATATTATTGTCCCTTTCGAAGATGCGAATCCCGTGAAGATTGCTATTCTTGTTTGTGGCATTGGTAGACTCCTAATCGAACATTTAAAGTGGCTCTGTTCCAGTGTGCGGTCCACAAACGCGACTCCATATGAAGAAGAGTCTCCACATGCAAGAGCATAGTTGCACCAGTAATTGTAGGAAGTGGTAGGGTGGTGTTTCAGCTTTGAATATCTGAATTTTGACTGCTTAAATATAAAATAAATGATTCGGAAAGAGCCTTTTCCTTTCTAAATGTACCATCAATGGTAATCAGAACGTAAACATTTCCAGTTAAATTAATTATTTGCATTCAAAATCGAAGTACAATTTGTTATAGTAAAACAAATACAAATAAAGTCTCAATATTATAATTCAGACTCTTATTTAATTATTTCAGTCTCAATCTCAAATTCCAGTAATTAGGAATGTCGATAATTATAAGGCCATAATTTGTGCCCTTACCCCATAAGTAGTATGTTCACTCGACCGGACAGTAGACAGCATGCACACATTTAAATTTCTCAGATTCAATGTGGGAATATTTCAACGATTCGAAAGGGCATAACAACAAGTATGGACTTCTAAAGCCATTTTCTATTTGTCTCGATGTGGCATTTAATACTCAAAGATTTGATTTCCAACAGAAATCCACCCTGTGTTATCTCACATTCCAAAATCAAATCTGACAACAGGGTTGCCATGACCTCCCCATAAAAGTGAATCAGCCAACATTTTATAACATTCTCTCATTTTTCCCTCCTCTATTACGTCTTATATACGCCATAATCCCCATAGAAATAAGCTCATGTCGAACACCAATAAGAACAGTATTTGAAATGCTTCACGGTATATTTTATCCAAAATGTACAGAAAGAGTGGGAGGAAAGAAGGGAGAAAGACAATGATGTGGGTTAAGGGAAAATGATAAGGCTTTAAGTAACTAACTGCACCGATTGACATTTGAAAAGAGTGGTGTGGAGGAAATCAAATGTCTTAAGTACGTTGGTCGATTTGGAAAGTTGGTCTATAGCAGTACAATGCAAGTGTCAGTGAAAGCATAAGAAAACCGACGGCAAAACACTTAGGAGGGAGATAATGGCAAGAAGTAACAATTTAATATTTCAAATTGAAGAATTGAGCGTTATTAAAAACGATACTTTGACAGATGCTTCTGAGTAATAATATGTAGAACTTATGCATGTGTGAGAAATTTTTACACAAGCAACCACAAAACTTAAAAATGACGTCTTTCTTTTCCAATAAAGTTGGTAAGCCACTGTAATTATTTCCATCGTGCTCAAGGTCAAAATGACTCTATTCTTTATTTACTTATTGAGGTTTTGAAGATTTATTCATTGTCGGTTTTCGGTAACCATGAGTAACTGTCAATTTTTATTGCGCTGAACCTAAAGTAAGGGTTTAGTAATTAGGAGTGACACAAGAAATCCAAAATAGATTAAATCAAGAACTTTGCGAATTAACAATAAATGCATCTGAATGATAATCTACTAAAAATATCCTTATAAAAACATTCAAAAGGCGTTTATTTTGAATTTTTCTATTCTTTCAGCGACTTTACTATTACGATTTTTGAGTCCAATGAAATAAAATGAAAGTGTGGATTAATTACTTCGGTATTCCTACAGTCATCCAACTCATATGAAAACATTATCGGATAATTTGCTCAGCTTCAGGCCATTTTCACTATATATTTGACATTCAAATTAGATATTGGAAGAACGGAAGACATACAAGCCTGGTGACGACAGTCAGCTGTCCTAAGACAAACTATCTTAGAATTTAAGCGGACTACCTTCATCAACCCATGTGCATCAGACACTGAGTCAGTGCTATCGATGCGTTTAAGCTTGTGACCACCTCTCGCTAAATCCGATTACACTTAAACATTCACCAATGGACAGATTGTCAATCTTGCGTTTCTCATGTTTCAAGTTCTAGAAAATTGGATGAGAAAATTTCCTGCGAACATTTAATGCTGATACTCTTTCAGAATGCGAAGAAAAGTACGTGCTAATTCATGTGTTATTACATGCCACAGTTGTCGTATATGCTTATTCAATAGAGATGTATTCTCGACATTTCACGGGATCTTATAACAGATAAACTACTGAGTTATATTAGTTAGTACGAGGAAGAGAGTGATGAGTTTTCTGTTTGTCACAAAACAACTCAAAATTAAGTTGTTCCTTCCAAGATACATTGTCATTGTTTTGTGACGATTAATAAATGACTTTATTTTTTCTTATGTTTCGATGTTAGTAGATGAAAGTTTGCTGCTAAATAACGGTTCGAACACGAGTATGCACAATAGCCAAATAATGACTTTTGTCATTTATTTATTTATTTATATCAAATGGCAGGTGTTTTGATAGTTACCATTAGCACTGGAGCTGACTTCGGGGCTTCACGGAGAGGTGGAGGTGGAGGAACATTAAAGTGACAAAAAGTCGAGATGGAAGACAGAATAATGATTCACAGAGGTAAAAGAGACAGACAGACACAAAGGCATAAAAAGGTAAGATGAATACTGTGAAAGGGTCGAATATGACAAATAGTCGGGCCATAGTAGTTTGATGTCAGAAGTCAACTGCCGGTTTGATAGACTTTTTTGCTGTATAAGTATACGTTGCCCAGTGTGCACCACGTGGAGGTAAGTCTAATATACGTTGCCCAGTGTGCACCACGTGGAGGTAAGTCTATTGAGCACCCCGCTTTTGTCAATGAAAGTGCATTAATTTAAAGATTGTAATTCGATCATCATTCACTCCGTGGTTACCAATCCACACTGTCAATTGTTTGCCCAATTAATTAGGTCAATCGATCTCAGGCTATCCTTATTTCTCTCACAGATCACATACAATAGTTAAGAATTACAATTATGATGATAATAAATTTCACTGAACTATAATTCAGTAATTGACACTCCTGTCAATGGATAGTATCTAGTTTTACTATTTAATTTGACATTTAGAATATCTCAGAATAGCATACTATGATGAGCGATTTCACAAATGCAATCGGTTGTCACTTTATGCAAAACGTAGGCAGACTTGAGAATAACCTATTAAGGCTCATTTCCATCTCAATTAAATATTTTATTTCATACTACTGAACGAAATAGAAACGAATTAAATATTTAAACACCAAATTCTGTACTTCAGTAAAATTGTTTTATTTTAGAATCTCCCAGTGGACACCACTTCCTACATTTGACCTTAATATAGAATCAGAGGCTATGAAAGTAACAGATTATATGTGCTAGTTTACATTCAATTTCGATGATGCACGAAAATGTAGTAAGTCTTTCTTGAGAATCAAATTTTTGTGTCCAAATAGGTTTGAAATACTTGGTAAACGAGATTCAATATGATTCACTAAAGGGGTATTAGGTCCTACGTAGAACAATAATCCCTCCCTTCAAATAACAAGTAGGCTAGCAGTCCCTCTGTGATTTATCTTCAAAAATAAGGAGGAAATAAGTTAATTAAAACAAGGTTAAAACTAATTAATTGTAGAATAATTTGATCAATCTGTTGAATCGTTCTAGAAATACAAGCAAATAAACGGCAAAATTCAATACTTGAATTAGGAAAACAAAATGTAAGTTTAAATTAATATAATTTGTAATTATATTTATTTGTAATAAATAATTAAATAATTTGTAATTTATATTTATTTACTCTATTGATAAAATTTCATTGTTTTCATACCTTTTTATCGCAAAAAAGAGGAAATTTATGATAAAAATCACATTTCAACGAAACGAAAATTTATTCAAATAAAATATCATTTTTGTAAACTTGAAAAACTCACTGGCGATATATAATTTTCTACAATTCAGTGTCACTAATAGTAACAATTTAAAAATGAAATTGTCAATATCATAGCGCTTAGTTACTTGCCCATTACATTTCTGCACACCAAAACTGTTTCAACATATTTGAATTGATATTTCGGGATAAATTATGTAAATCACATAAAGTCAGTTTTAGATACAATCTGTCCAAATTTATTCTTTTATAAACAGGTCGATCAAAGGGGGTTATCACAAGCTGTTCTCTGTTCAACGTGTTCGTCAATGACTTGGCTAAATTAATGAAGTCCGTCACGGACATCAAGTGCATGCTTTATGTCGATGATCTAGTTCTATGCTAACTTTTAAAACGCATTATTCACCTTATCAATTGACATTAATTAAGGTCACGTCCAGACTCTCCAACAACGTACACTATCAAGCTTACTTTAAAAGATTTGTTGGTGTGAAATTAAACACACTTCTACCTCATCATCTTTTTGCATCACCACCCATAACCCGACTATTTCTTTGTTGTAAATATTCGAGAATCCTGAGTTTTCCAATGAGATGCAATTGGATATGGCAAAAGATTTGACATCATCAGAAGTAATCCATACGCAAACCCTCAAGTGAGATCTTTAGAGCTCCTCAGATGAAACCACGCACCATAGAGCGGTTGACTACAAGCCGTGAATTATAAAACATTAAAGTGAATCTACTTTACGGTTTTGTTGAAAGAGCTTTATTTAAATCAGTATTGACTGACATTTAGGGCCATTTATTTATACCAAATGGCGGGCGTTTTGGTAGTTATCATTAGTCCTTTAGTTGACTTCAGGCTTCACAGAGGGAAAGGAACTTCAAAGTGAAAAAAATCGAGAGGGAAGGGGGACAAAGATGTAAAAGAGACAGACACAAAGGTGGAAAAAGGTGAGATGAGTATTGTGGAAGCAGTCGAATATGACAAACAGTGGGGTCATGGTAGTTTGAAGATAGAAGTCAACTGCCAGTTAATAGACTTTTTTGCTATATGAGAATGCGTTGCCCAGGGTGCACCACGTGGGGGTAAGTCTATCGCGCACCCCAAAATCGGGCTCCCTGACCGGGAGTTGAACCGGGCCGCCTGGGTGAGAGCCAGGAATCCTAACCGCTAGACCATCAGGGAAAATTTAGAACCATTAGGAGTGCTTATCTGCAAAACTAGTTTTTATAACCCATTGTAATGATTGTTGCATATTTAATTGTTCAATTTTCTCTTTTTCGTTGTATGTGATAGATTCACCTCACTATTTCAGATTCAATAGTTAGCAGTCTATTGTTTAAC